CAACAGACAAATGAGAACCACACCCCTCTTCCCCGGCATCACATCCATCATTTATAACCTGCCTTAGCTAACTATTGAAATCCCTGGCATCACTGCCCTTACCTACATGCTGCCTTAGCTTACTGTTGAAGCACGCTGGTCTCACATCCCTCATCTGTGTCACACCATAGCTTTCTATTGAACCTCCTTTCATCACAGCCCTCCCCTATAAACTGCCACAGCTTCCCACTGAACCCTCCTGGCATCACAGCCCTTGCCTACACTTTGCTATAGCTTCCCTTTAGAACATAAGAACAGCCATACTGGGTCAGACCAAAGGTCCACCGAGCCCAATATCCTGTCTTCCAAAAGTGGCCAATGTCAGAGGTCCCAGAGGGAGTGAACAGAACGGAATTATCACATGATCCCTCTCCTGTCATCCATTTCCAGCCTCTGACAAACAGAAGCTAGGGACACCATTCCCACCCATGCTGGCTAATAGCCACTGATGGACCTAACCTCCATGAATGTATCTAGGTTTTTTTTTAACCCTGTGAAATTCCTGATGTTCACAACATCCTCTGGCAAGGAGTTCCACAGGTTGACTGTGTGTTGCGTGAAGAAGAAAAAATTCCTTTTGTTTTAAACCTGCTGCCTATTAATTTCATTTGGTGACCCCTAGTTCTTATGTTATGGGAACAAGGACATAACTTTTCCTTATTTACTTTCTCCATTCCTGTCATGATTTTACAGACCTCTATCATATGCCCCCCATGTCCCAGTCTTTTAAATCTCTCTTCATATCATATTCCAAAACCCTATCATTTTTGCTGCCCTTTTCTGAACCTTTTCCAATGCCAATATATCTTTTTTTTTAGATGAGGTGACCACATCTGTATGCAGTATTCAAGTTGTGGGAGTAGCATGGTTTTATATAGAGGCAATAAAATATTCTCTGTCTTATTCTCCAATGAGTCTCGATATTTTATTTGCTTTTTTGACTGCCACTGCACATTCAGTGGATGTTTTCAGGGAAGTTGTTTTTGGGCAACTTCATTTGATCCGCCAGCTGCGACCCTTACTGAACAAACATGACTTGGCCACAGTGATCCATGCTCTTGTTACATCCCGACTGGATTACTGTAATGCACTTTATGTAGGGCAGCCTCTAAAGAGCCTTCGGAAACTTCAACTGGTCCAGAATGCGGCTGCTCGAGTTTTAACTAACACTAGTTATACGGAGCACATTACGCCAGTGCTTCGGCAGCTGCACTGGCTTCTGGTATGTTTCCGGGCACAATTTAAGGTTTTAATTATGACCTATAAAGCCTTACATGAGTTTAGCCCAGGGTATCTGAAGGACTGTCTTCTCCCATATGAACCTGCCCAGGGATTGAGGTCAGCTGGGGAGGCTTCGCTTCGTGTTCCCCCACTTGTGGAGATAAGATTAACATCTACGCAGAACAGGGCATTCTTAGCTTTTGCTCCCAAGCTGTGGAATTCTCTTCCTCAAGATATTCGCATGGCACCAACACTAGCGTTGTTTCGGCGTCAGGCTAAAGCCACCCTTTTACTCATGCTTTTATTAATGTTTGAGTCTGTATGTTTGTGTTCCTCCTCTCTATATGTTTTTAGCTGGTTATGTCCCTCTGAGGTCTCATATTTTAAATTCTCATATTTTAAATTTTTATATATATTTGTATTTTTTTTGTTTGTTCTTGTAAGCTGCCTTGAATATTTTAAATAGAAAGGCAGGATAAAAATATTTAAATAAATAAATAATAAACCTATTCACACTGACACCAAGATCTCTCTTGAATAGCTGTAGCTAAATTAGTCCCCATCATAATGTATGTATAGTTGGGATTATTTTTTTTCCAATGGGCATTAATTTATATTTATCAACATTAAATGTCATTTGCCATTTTGTGGCCTATTCACTTAGTTTTGTGAAATCTTTTTCAAGCTCTTCACAGTCTGCTTTTGTCTTAGCTATCTTGAGCAGTTTAGTATCATCGGCCAAATCTGATCCCTCACTGTTTATCCCCTTCTCCAGATCATTTATCAATAGGTTGAACAGGATTGATCCCACTTCAGACCACAGGGGGGGCACCATTAGTTACTGTTCTCCATTCTGAAAACTCACCATTTATTCCTACCCTGTTTCCTGTATTTTAACCAGTTATCAATCGATGATAACTTCCCTCGTATCCCATGACAACTTACTTTACTTAAGAGCCTTTGGTGAGGGACCTTGTCAAAGGCTTTCAGGAAATCTAAGTACACTATGGCCACTGGATCCACCTTGGCCACGTTTGTTGACTCCCTCAAAGAACTCTAGGGCTACGTCTAGACTGGCATGATTTTCCGCAAATGCTTTTAACGGAAAAGTTTTCTGTTAAAAGCATTTGCGGAAAAAAGCGTCTAGATTGGCACGGACGCTTTTCCGCAAAAGCACTTTTTGCGGAAAAGCGTCCGTGCCAATCTAGATGTGCTTTAGCACAAAAAAGTCCCGACTGCCATTTTCGCGATCGGGGCTTTTTTGCGCAAAACAAATCTGAGCTGTCTACACTGGCCCTTTTGCACAAAAGCTTTGCGCAAAAGGACTTTTGCCCGAACGGGAGCAGCATAGTATTTCCGCAAGAATCACTGATTTCAGACAGTAGGAAGTCAGTGTTCTTGCGGAAATTCAAGCGGCCAGTGTAGATAGCTGGCATGTTCACCTGCTTTTGCGGAAAAACTTGCCAGTCTAGAAACAGCCTAGTAGATTAATAAGGCATAATTTCCATTTACAGAAATCTTGTTGACTTTCCCCCCAACAAATTATGTTCATCTATGTATCTGACAATTTTATTCTTTACTAGAGTTTCAACTAATTTGCCTGGTACTGACATTAGACTTTCTGGTCTGTAATTGCCAGGATCACCTCTAGAGATCGTTTTAAGTACTGATGTCACATTAGCTTTCTTCCAGTCATTAGGTACAGAAGCTGATTTAAAGGATAGATTACAAACCACAGTTAATTGTTCCGCAATTTCCCATTTGTGTTCGTTCAGAACTCTTTGGTGAATGTCATCCGATTCCGGGGACTTGTTACTGTTAAGTTTATCAGTTTGTTCCCATACCTTCTCTAATGACACCTCAATATGGGACAATTCCTCAGATTTGTTACCTAAAAACAGTGGAGGTTTGGGAATCTCCCTAACATCCTAAGCTGTGAAGACCAAAACAAATAATTCATTTAGTTTCTCTTCAGAGGCTCTATCATCTTTGAGTGCTCCTTTAGCATTTCAATCATTCCGGTGGTTCCACTGGTTGTTTAGGAGGCTTCCTGCTTCCAGAACTCTGTCGACAAAAGGCGTATTCCTCGTAGAATGAGGTTTACCGCCGTTGACAAAACTGCTGAGTTCTGTCGATGTTATGTCAACAAAACTCGGCAATAGTGTAGACACAGGTATAGTTCTGTTGACAAAAGTCCACTTTTGTCAACAAAACCCTGTAGTCCAGACACCCCCCCACTGAGGATGTCTACAAGTAAGTGGAGGAAAGATGTTTCAGACTCAGCAAATTATGCAGATTTAGTGATCGAAGACACTGAGTCTTAGGTGAACTAAACCTAAACTTCTGGAATCTCTCAATTTCTTTTTACTATGTCTTATATGGACTGAACTGTTCAAGTCCCCCCCTCCCCATTTATGTTTATTGTAACTGTGAGATAATGTCTGTGGCTTATGAAATAGCTATGTTATGTTGTAAAATTAGATTGTTTCTTCATAAGGTATTTAATTAAATTCATTTTAGTTCCTTTCGGACTTTAATGTGTAGGGGTTTGACCTTGCTGAAGTCCTTAGAGATTGAACTTTGGGTCTCTGTCTACTTTTCTATTGGAGTTGGGCATTTCAAGGCACTGGAGAAGGACAATGAAGTGAGATGTAGCTCAACCAAGGTTGCAATAGCTTCTCATTGAATCCCCCCTTTACTTATCACCCTCTGTCTGGTACACCCTGCCACACCTTCCCATTGAACCCCCCCTTTACTTATCACGAGGGCTGTGTCTAGACTGGCCAGTTTTTCCGGAAAATCAGCCGCTTTTCCGGAAAAACTTGCCAGCTGTCTACACTGGCCGCTTGAATTTCCGCAAAAGCACTGACTTCCTACTGTAAGAAATCAGTGCTTTTTGTGGAAATACTATGCTGCTCCCGTTCGGGCAAAAGTCCCTTTTGCGCAAAGCTTTTGCGCAGAAGGGCCAGTGTAGACAGCTCAGATTTGTTTTCCGCAAAAAAGCCCCGATCGCGAAAATGGCGATCGGGGCTTTTTTGCGGAAAAGCGCGTCTAGATTGGCCACGGATGCTTTTCAGCAAAAAGTGCTTTTGCGGAAAAGCGTCCGTGCCAATCTTGACGCTCTTTTCCGAAAATGCTTTTAACGGAAAACTGTTCCGTTAAAAGCATTTCCGGAAAATCATGCCAGTCTAGACTTGGACCCTCTGTCTTGTACACCCTGCCATACCTTCCCATTGAACCCCTCCCCATACCCCGCATCACAGCCTTTACCTACATCCTGCTAGAGCTTCCCATGGAACTCTCCTGGCACTATCATCCGCTGTCACCCTGCTACAGCTCCCCGTTGAAACCCCCATGACCTCTCACACAGCCCTTC